GGGGAGTTTCCCAAGTTCCTCCACTTGACCCACTCCCAGACCCAGTTCTTATACGTGCCAGCATGCGGTATAGTCTGGCCTTCCATTTGGCCTTATACGAGCAGGTGAATGTTGCAGCCCGACCCACCCCAAAGCCTATTCAGGATGCACATTCGGGTGCTGCTACCACAATGTATATTTCACAATGCATTTTTTTTTAAGATTTATTTTTATTTTTATTGGAAAGGCAGATGTACAGAGGAGAGAGAAATTGAGAAGATTTGTCCGATGATTCACTACCCAAGCAGCTGTAACAGCTGGTACTGAGCCAGTTCGAAGCCAGGAGCCTCTTCAGGGCCTCCCACAGGGTTGCAGGGTCCCAAAGCTTTGGGGCGTCCTTGACTGCTTTCCCTGGCTGCAAGCAGAGATCTGGGTGGGTAGTGGAGCCATCGAGACTAGAACTGACGCCCTAATGGAATCCCGGCACATTCAAGGCGAGGACCTTAACCATCACGCTATCGCGCCAGGCCCCACAATGTATTTTCATAAACTTGTTGCAGAACCCTTTGGCATGAATTTAACATTTTTATACCAAAGTAAACACCACTTTTTTATATGGAGATTTTGTTTTTTGAAAATTTTATTTATTTGTGGTACCTGTAACAAGCAAGTAAGCTTGGTGCTTGGGAGAAGCAATCTCTTCCTGATGGTGCAGAGACTCCTCTGCTAAGTGTATTCCAGTTTCTTTCTTTTCTTTTTAAGATTTATTTATTTATTGGAAAGTCAGATATACAGAGAGTAGAGACAGAGAGGAAGATCTTCCGTCCGATGATTCACTCCCCAAGTGAGCACAACGGCCAGTGCTATGCTGATCCGAAGCCAGGATCCAGGAACTTCTTCCAGGTCTCCCACGTGGATGCAGGGTCCCAAGGCTTTGGGCCGTCCTCGACTGCTTTCCCAGGCCACAAGCAGGGGGCTGGATCGGAAGTGGAGCTGCCAGGATTAGAACTGGAGCCCATATGGGATCCCAGTGCATTCAAGGAGAGGACTTTAGCCGCTAGGCCATGCCACCGGGCCCGTATTCCAGTTTCTTTTCTCAGCATGAGAGGTGAATTCGGAGCAGACACACAGAATGCAAGCATGGGACCACAGGAGTGAGAGCAGCCTCATTAGGGAGGGTCGGACCCATCCCTGTTTGCTCACCCTCTTTTGGGTTGGGGTGGTACACTGATTGAACATGTAAACGAAATGGACCTTGGGTGGGGTTAGGTGGGAGCGCAGCCTACGAGTGTAACAGGTGTTTGGCGTGGCAAGGTAACACTGCCCAACTAATTCTGGTTTAGCAGCGATTCGTTGGTAAGGTGTTACTCTTTGTACTTGGAGAAGCACACCGCCTGAGAGGCTGGAGAGAGGAGTTTAGTTCACAGTGGAAGGGCTGTACCTGAAGGAGCAGTTGCCCCAGCAGGCTGTGTCTTCGAAGCAACAGCTATGCAGAAAGTTGAAATATTCTAGGCCTTATGGCCATGTGAGCTACACAGCAGCAGCGGTGTGCCTCTGCAGTTGGATATGCCAGCCGGGAGGGGATACTGTCTCAGCCAGGGAGGAGCCCCGTGGCTTCGAGTGAAGTGGCACCTCTGGGAAGAGTTCCTATAAAAGAGGCCTGGGGAGAAACAACTGCTTAGCCAGGTGTGCACTTTCCTGTAAGTCGACGGGGGCGGGAGGTGACAGGAGGGTGCCATCTTCTTCTGTATTTCAGAGGAGGCTCAGGTGCAGCACGGGAAAGCAAATGTATCCAATTGGCATTTATGGGGATGGAACGCCTCAGCAGGGCAAGGCTACAGCAGTGAGCCTGCTGGAGACATCTTAGTTCACTGTCCCTCACTAACTCACTGACGTGTCAGAGAACATATTTTTCAGACATCTTTATAAAAGGGACAGTGTATAATCAAGAACCCAATCCTAACCTGCATGTCAGGCAGAGCTTGTAGGGCGATTTGGAAAGGCTCATCATGTTGGCAGTGAATCCGTCTTCACGTGTGGGCACCTGAACTGCCTTTTCCAAAGCTTTCCTATGCGCCTGGAGCTTCGGTTTAGACACCATTGGAGTTTTGAACTAGTATTCCCATTAATATCTTCACGGTGACCAAACAGCAAGTCTCCGAGATTGCTTCATGTGCTGGTGGCCAAGTGACAGCCAAGAGTGAGCTCGGTGACAGTCCTAAATTCAAGTGATTCTCTCCCTTAGTCAAGAATGACATCTGGAATATCTGAATAATCGAATTTTCTTGGCCAGTACAGTATCCGAGTTAAGTTCTTGGTACAAATTGAGCAATGCAGCTGTGCAAGCATTTCCTTTTGTTAATTAGTCCCCTCTTTTATTTTTTTGGCATTTGTTTATTTAAGAAGCAGAGAGAGACATAGCTGCCATCTGCTAATTCCTCAGATGTCTGGGTTGCTGGGCGGAGTCAAGAAGACCCAGGAACCCAGGTCAGGTGGTCATGGAGCTGCTGCTTCCCTGGAGTCAGGAATGAAGCCAGGACTCACTCACAGCCAAACGCTGACGTGGGATGCGGTCGTCCGCGCGCTGTCTTGAGCTCTCAGAATCCGTGTGTTTTAAGTGAGCTAGCTCGAAGTCAGTCTCGGGACTGTGGGGTGGGGAGGGGTCTTGAGAAGGCCCCCGCTGTTCACTGATAACTGCAGGATGTGTGTGGTACAGTCAGCAAGTTCTAGAAACTCAGAGGAGAGAGGCCGTGTAGACCAGAGCATCATCAGTAGCTGGATCAAGATACCTCTGAAAAGTAAGATTTGGAGAGAGAACAGACGTTGGCAGATGACATGCGCTGCAACCACAGTGTAAGCAGAACTTGAGAGGAAATGGAGTAGAGCTGTCAGAGAAGTGAAATATGATTAGGAAGATACCATTTGGCCCATTTTGGAAGACAGTAGGGAAGGCTTCTGTCTGTTACATCAGATTAATTGGAAGGAAGTAGTGTCTGGGAAAGTCGCCAGCTTCGTGACAGCCAAGGCTGGGAAGGCTGGGCTAAAGAGTTGTAGAAAGGGCCCTGACACAATAGCCTAGTGGCTAAATCCTTGCCTTACATGCTCCGGAATCCCATATGGATGCCAGTTTGTGTCCTGGCTGCCCCCTTCCCATCCAGCTCCCTGCCTGTGGCCTGGGAAAGCGGTTGAGGATAGCCCAAAGCCTTGGGACCCTCCTGCACCTGCGTGGGAGACCCGGAAGAGGCTCCTGGCTCCTGGCTTCAGATCAGCTCATCTCTGGCTGTTGCGGCCACTTGTGGAGTGACCCAGTGGATGGAAAGTCTTTCTCTCTGTATCTCCTTTTCTCTGTAAATCTGCCTTTCTAATAAAAAAAAAAAAAAAGAAAATAAGAAAAGGAGAGACAGCTGGACAGTGTTCCATGTCCCAGAAAGGGAGAGACAGGTGACAGGAGGAGTTGACTCAGCCCAGTGAACACGCACACATCTTCCTCTAAAGCTCTCCATCCTGTGACCTACGCTAACTTTGCAACTTCATTCTCCCTGTTCTCCCGGGCGAGGAGGGCTATGAATTCTTCCTTAGGCATTTTTCCACAAGTGCATTTCATCTGTTTCTCGTCCTTCCACGCCTTTCCCTGCTGTCCATCCCCTTTCCCATCCCCCTCACACCCCACCCCCTCTCATCTCGCCTCTTAGCTTTTGGAATCTTTTACCATCTCAAAATGCTTCCTGTTCTGGGATGCCACTCTTGTTCCTCGTAACGTGGATACAACCTCCATCCATGGATCCCCATGGCGTCCGTTTCTATTTGCTTTACATTATCTCGTGAAATGTGATCCATAAACAAATGACACGTTATCTGATTTAGGCGCTCAACTTAGCGCGTACTTACTAGGGCTTCTTGTATAATTTGTGTATCATAAGATGCTTTTTAGAAGTAGGGAAATGGTTGCCAGGAGGTAGCTGAACTAGGTTCCTAACAAGTATAGAGAAGGTGTTCCTGTTCCTATTTGCCAGGCAGTATTTTATGTGTACGCGTGAGTGCACGGGCTAATGCCAGGTTAACTTGGGAAAGCACATCATCGCTCGTAAGAGCTTTGAGCAGCACAGTTCATCGAGACCAGGAATCAAACCCACTGTTTCTGTGACACTGGATGGTAAGAGCCCATGTGTGTGCCCCGTGTACTCCTGATGGATTTCACAAAAGGTCTCACAGCTGGATACGACCTTTAGGTTGCTGGATATGACCTGTAGGTGGCTGTTGGCTCCCTAAGGTCTAAACATGGATTCACTTGTCCATACTTGAACATTTTTTTAATCTTTTAAAAAAAAAAAGGTTTTTTTATCATGTTTAAATCTGTTAGTGAACTATTTTGTACTAATAGTCCCTCCTACAAAACGGTTGTATCCGAGTTACTGTCGGAAAACATGATGCGATCAGAAATACACAGCGTCTCTCTTGAGGCGTTTCTTAGCCATGGGACTCCTCATCTTGTAGAAGGAAGTGTAACACGCCTTCAGCGTCCCATGCTGAAGTTTGCGTGTGCGTACATTGGCTTTAAGGTAGGCCAGTGGGGGCGTGGAAGTCAGACACCGGTCACAACCACTCTTCCTACAGGCCCGACTTGACATGCTTCCTGAGCCAACAGCCTCTGTCGTGGTTCCTTGAACCTGACTTTGTGACCCAGGTGCGGCCGTGGATCGTATTTACATGAAAGAGAATGGTGTTTTCCAGTAGAGCTATATTCGTGGAAGTAGCCGGTAGGCCACACATAGCTGGCTCTGGGTGAGAGCGAAATAAAACAGATGAAATATGTGTGGGACTTGTGCAAGCTAGATGCTGGCTACAGTGGAGTTTTTTTTTTTTACATGGTTTTCACAATTGTCCAATTAGTTTGAAATACTCAACAAAAAGCTAAAACTAGTTCTACGGGTAAGTAAAAAAAAAAAGAGAAGGTCTTGTCTTCACGTATTTAATCCATTTGTAAAACTTCTTTCATCTACTGAAATAATGTGTCATGTTAGCTTTACTGCAGACTTCTGTCCAACAATATGAAGAACAAAACACCAAAATCAAGCAATTGCTGGTGAAAACAAAGAAAGAGCTGGCAGATTCCAAACAAGCGGTATGTTTTTGTTGTTGTTGTTGTTTTTATATTTTAGTATTTATTCTAAGTTGACTTCCAGAAACTTCTTCCGTCGTTTAATCCAGATTCCCGATTCTTTAGGAGGCTGAGCACGTACTGCTTGAAGCGTCTCTGAAGGGGGAGCTGGAGGCCAGCCAACAGCAAGTCGAAGTCTATAAAGTAAGGCTCTCTGCACAAAGGACAGCAGCAGTTAGAGGTTATTTCAATAATCCCACCATGATTTGACTTACGAGAATATTGTGAAAATTTTCTCAACATTTCGAGACAGTAAAAACAGTACATTGAGTTTCGCGTATAACCAGGACATAGCTTTTTTTAACTCAAGATTTAGTATTTTCTTGCTTTTGAGAATACACTGCAATACACTTTAGTACAAAATATGATTAAATGCATCACGTGAGATTTTGTGTGATTACACTTTAATTGACGGTATTTTAATTTAAAATGTGTGGATCATGTTCTGCTGATGTTGTTTCTACTTTTGCAAAATAAGACATAGAAATGTTATGTGGACATTTGGCGGCTCATTAAGACACCTCTGCCACATACTGGAGTATCCAGGTTTGATTCTCATCTCGGCTCCTGGTTCCGCCTTCCTGCTGCTGCCCACTCTGGGAGGCAGCAGGTGGTGGCTGCAGTAATGGGTCCCTGCCGCCCGCAGCCATTGGGCCCCTGCCGCCAGCAGCGGGGTCCCTGCCACCCGCAGTGGGGTCCCTGCCACCCACAACGGGGTCCCTGCCGCCCGCAGCGGGGTCCACCCGCAGCGGGGTCCCTGCCACCTGCAGCCATTGGGTCCTTGCCGCCCAAGGTGGGGTCCCTGCCACCCACAGCAGGGTCCCTGCCGCCCGCAGTGGGGTCCCTGCCGCCCGCAGTGGGGTCCCTGCCACCCACAGCAGGGTCCACCTGCAGCGGGGTCCCTGCCACCCTCAGCGGGGTCCACCTGCAGCAGGGTCCCTGCCACCCACAGCGGGGTCCCTGCCGCCTGCAGCCATTGGGTCCCTGCCACCCACAGCAGGGTCCCTGCCGCCTGCAGCCATTGGGTCCCTGCCACCCACAGCAGTGTCCCTGCCGCCCACGGTGAAATGCGTCTCCAGTTCCCATGATGTTGCAAGCTTATGGAAACTAAGCCAGTGGATGAGAACTTACATGCTCACTCACTTGCTCTGTATGCCTCTCTCAATTTTTAGAAGTAGATTTTCTGCTGTGTAATGATATTACCTTGTACATACCTTAGTCTCAAACCCCAGGTTTATGTTTTGGGAGAATGCCTTGACCCAAGGAGGATCTGATTAACTTGGGCTAGATCGCAAGGTTCTCACCACCCCCGCCCCTGCCCCTAGATTCAGCTGGCTGAAATAACGTCGGAGAAACACAAACTCCACGAGCACCTGAGGACGTCCGCAGAGCAGCACCAGCGCACGCTGAGTGCCTACCAGCAGAAAGCGATGGCACTGGAGGAGGAGAGCCGTACGGCCAAGGTGAGTCCCCCGGCGCCCAGCCGGCAGCACGGGTTAGATACGCACCTGGCTCAGCCATCTGCCTCCAAGCCTAACCCCACGCTCCTCACTTCCACATCCCTGCCTGTAGAGAAACACATTAGGGGCTAGTGTGGCGGTATAGCAAACTAAGCCTCTGCCTGCAGATCTGGTATCCCATTTGGGATTCAGTTCAAGTCCGGGCCGCTGCATTTCCACTCCAGCTCCTTGCTGATGTCCTGGGCAAGCCGCATAGGCTAGCTTGGGTGCCCAGGTTCTGGCACCTGCACCCACATGCTGCATGCAAGACCCAGAAGAAGCTCCTGACTCCAAGCTCTGGCCATTTTGGCCATCTAGGGAGTAAAGCAGTAGACGAAAGATCTCTCCTTCTCTCTGTACCTCTGCCTTTCCAATAAAATTCAATCTTTTTAGAAAACGAACACATTATTTCCTTTTTTTGCTCAAACATTGCTGGCAGAACAAGCTGCTGTGAATTCTGAATTTAGGAGCTGTAGAGTTCATGTTCATAGCATTTTAAAATAGCAGAAAAATAAATGTGTGCCACGAGCCAAAACTGAAGGCACTCTTTTGAATTTAAGAATATAAGAAACCAGTTACTGTGAGGCTCTTCTGTTAGAAAAATGCCACAATTCTTTTTTTTTTTTTTTAAGATTTATTTATTGCAAAGTCAGATATACAGAGAGGAGGAGAGACAGAGAGGAAGATCTTCCGTCCGATGATTCACTCCCCAAGTGAGCGCAACGGCTGGTGCTGTGCCAATCCAAAGCCAGGAGCCAGGAACTTCTTCCGGGTCTCCCACACGGGTGCAGGGTCCCAAAGCTTTGGGCTGATCTCAACTGTTTTCCAGGCCACATGCAGGGAGCTGGATGGGAAGTGGAGCTGCCGGGATTAGAACTGACTCACATGGGATCCCGGCGTGTTCAAGGCGAGGAGGACTTTAGCTGCTGGGTCACAGCGCCGGGCCCAAAATGTCACAATTCTTTCTGAGAGCCTAAATGATTATAACATAACATTCTGAAAGAGTGGGAAGGCCTGCATTCCTGTCTTCAGTATGCAAAACAGCTGGACACAATGTGTTGTCCAGTGGGAGGGGCTGCTCCTGTCCAGGTATGCTTGGCTCTAAAATAGGCCTTTATTTTTTTAAACCGTGCTTCCAATGAATGGAAAAATAGTTATAGTATTGACCTTGAACTTTGTGACTCGTGCTTCTAGGCACGTTAGGCTAAGAATTCCACTTCGGAAGCACAATGCCTGGGTCTTTGAGTGGCATCTGCGCTGAGACCAGGATGGGCAGGCTCCATTGCTGCTTTCCGCGAAGCACTGCCCTGCTGCTTTGTGAAAGAAGAAACGAAGGCACAAGTCATTTCACTGTTTGCTTGGCATCACAGGAAGCAAGCTGGTGATAAGTGTGTTTAAGTAGTTGTGTAAGCCAAGCTCAACTGCATACCTTCATTCAGAAATATTTGACTAAGGTTTTGGATTGGGTTGGCACTGTCGTGCAAAGAGAATGAGTTTGCTTAAAACAGATCTTTCCCGGTCCTGTGGTCTGTTCCTGCCTGGAAAGTTTTTGTAAAAAGGCCAAGTTCATATCCCCTTGATGTTAGAATCAAGTCTCACACTCCATCAATATCTCGTGCTGAACTTTGTGGTTGCATTCAAAATTATTAAACATGGGCGAAGGTGGGGGAGGGCAGTTGTAAGACTTGTTTACATAAAGTTCCAAGCCAACAGTGTGATTATAAAATATGCAAGTGGTAAATTAATTTACCAGAGTAGAAAACATGGTAAAAATATCTCTTGTCAGACAAAATTCAAAAACCTAAAAAGCCAACACAGATTACTTACAAAGGTTAACTGGGGCCTGAAACAGTATCAGCTATTTTTCCCTGTTTTTCTTTTTTTTTTTTAATAAGATTTATCTATTTTTATTGGAAAGGCAGACATACAGAGAGGAGGAGAGACAGAGAGGAAGATCTTCCGTCCGATGGTTCACTCCCCAAGTGGCTGCAACATCTGGAGCTGAGCCAATCCTAAGCCAGGGGCCAGGAGCTTGTTCCGGGTCTCCCACGCGGGTGCAGAGTTCCAAGGCCTTGGGCCGTCCTCGACTGCTTTCCCAGGCCACAAGCAGGGAGCTGGATGGGAAGTGCGGCCTCCGGGATTAGAACCGGTGCCCATATGGGATCCCAGCGCGTTCAAGGCTAGGACTTTAACTATTACACTATCGTGCCGGGCCCTGTTTTTCCCTATTTTTCAAAAACAAGATTTCATCTCAACTTGGCAATCTCTGAAAGTTAAAAGGTGATGTGATGGAAGATAACGCTTTGTCTCTCTCCGGTGTTACAGGCAGAACAGGCCGCTATAACCTCTGAATTTGAGAGCTACAAAGTCAGAGTCCATAATGTCCTCAAGCAACAGAAAAATAAATCCATGTCTCAGAGTGAGACTGAGGCGGCAAAACAAGAAAGGTAAAACTGCTTACACGCCAAGGAAGCGGGCGCAGGCGCCACGGAGCGGCAAGTTAAGCCTCCACCTGTGGCCTCAGCATCTCACGTGAGCGCCAGTTTGAGTCCAGGCTGCTCCAGAAATTGTTACCTTAGAACTCTGCAGTGTTGTTTTGTTTGTGTTGCTGTTTGTTTGTTGGTTGCTAAGAACATGCACTATAACAGATAGCTATTTTTTAATAAGAAGTTCACTTTATGTTTGATGATGTTTGCGTAGTTCAGAGGGATGCATGCCCATGTGGAGCAACAGGTAGGATAGGAAAGGTCAAGGAATGGGGGGTGGTAGATGAAACAAGCGCCTTCAATCTCCTTTTTCTTCTGGTGCCTGGGGGAAGTGAGAAGGGGAGAGGGCCGCTCCTAGCAGTCCAGTTGCATCAGTACCCAGGAATGGAGGGAAGGCCACTCAGTGTCGTCCCAGGGTCCCCCACGTGGAGTATGCTCCGAGGATGCTGCTCACGTGGTGTTGATAATTCTGAGATGCTGTTGATTTCATTGCTCCAAGGTTGAGGATCCTTTGGCTGACAGTTCACCTTAGAATCTTGATTCGCCCAGATACTCATCTGGGAAAGCTGTCCAGTTTGCTCTGTCTTCCATGGTATTTGTTCTGCAGGCCTCAGCGAGCTGGCTGTCATGTGCCCCGTGAGCATCAGGGCGTGCTGTTCGCTGCACAGGCTCCAACAACTGAGGAGACCCAGTTCAGACACGTGTACTGCACGGTTAGACCGAGATCCTGGGATTGGCACCATGGTTGGAGTTTTGAGTCCAGTGATCCGGTTGGACTGGATCTCCAAAGAGATCTTGCTAGAGGTGACCCCAACCTCACTCCTGTGTCTGCCAGCCAGCATGGGGTCCGGCTCAGGTCATCACCCCCATCAGCTTGTGCACACACAGATGGTTACAGTCACCTGGTCAGTTCTGTCCCTAGCTGCATCGCATATGCAAACCAGTGGGTGCTGTGGGCCGATGCAAAGCAGTGGGTGCTGCAGGCTGGCCTAACCCTGCCTGCCACGCACTCAGCCCTCATGCACACCAGCAGGAACTGCAGCCTAGATGGAGCAGCTCCCAGTAACACCCCAGCACTAGTTCCTGTGCGTGTCTGTAAGTGCAGCAGACTGCGCCAATGTGTCCCATAGCCCATTCAGCTCCTGTACGCGTCACTGAGCTTTGGAGTCCAGCTCTACCCAGCTGATTTCACCATCCAGCTCACACTCGTGCCAGTGGGTGCTACAGCCTGTCCAGCCAGGCCCAACCCCAGCCCTGGTTCTCATGCTCACCAGTGGCAGTTGCAGCCCATCAGAGAGGGGCCCACAGTTTGCCAACTGGGCCCACTCCCAGCCTGGACCTTACACTTTCAAGATAATTCAGTTCTCTAATGAGCTGGTTAGTGTCATGGCCCAAGCTAACATGGTCCAACCCTGCTTTAACACTCACTGGCCGGCACTGTGGTCGAGCCAACAGGCCCCCAGCCATGGCTTTTGTGCTTTCTTGTAGGCCGTGGTTGATAGCAACGACCCCAGCTCAGGTCTCCCACGTGGGGGTGTATTGGTTTGGCCCAAAAGGTTCTCCAGTTTCCTTCTAAACCACCCGATCTCAGCCCCCTCGTTTACCTGCAAGTACGGTAGCCCGGTTGGTGGAAGTCCCCCAGGGGTCACTGCTTTCCTATCACGTTCTCCATCAGCAGTCCTCCCTCCCTCGTATCTCCAGAACTGCTTCCACAAGCCCCCATGCCCATAGGTCCCCAAGCCTGGTCCTGTGGCAGGGGACTGACTGCCTTAATTAATTAGGGCCCACACACTCTCAAGAGGGTCCCCAACCCTGTCTGTTGGTGTGCCGGCATCTGCACCGCCCCTGCTCTCCCACCACCACACACACACATCTTGGAAAAAAAAGAATAGATGGCTATGCTGGCACACTGGCATAGTTAACACAAATTTGGCATTAACCAGGCTCAGGATGCCTGCCTGCTATTAGCTGCTTTTCTCCCGATGGTATAACACTTCCCTGGTTACCATGCAACCTAGGATGTTGCCTACAGCTGGGAAGTTTTTGTTTGTTTTTTGAGATTTTTTTTTTTTTATTTACTTGAAAGGCAGTTAGAGAGAGATAAGAGAGACAGTTCATCTGTCAGTCAGCTCACTCCCCAAATGGCTGCAACTGCTAGGGCTGGGCGAGCTAGGAACTTCTTCCAGATCTCTCACGTGGGCTCAAGGACCCAAGGAGCCAGCAGTGTTCTGTTTTCTTCCAAGCCCGTTAGCAAGGAGCTGGGTAGGAAGTGAAGAAGCTGAGACTCAAACCAGCGTCTGTGAGAGATGCTGACGTTGTGGTCAGCATCTCTACCCGCGGCACCACAGGGCTAGTCCACAACAAGGAGCTGTTTCTGTTTGTTTTGTTTTGCTCCTTTTAATGGGAAAGGCAGATTTACAGAGGGGAGATACAGAAGAGTCCCTGTTTCATTCTGCAGCTGGGTCGCAATGCCTGGAGCTGAGCCCATCCAAAGCCAGGAGCCAGGCGCTTCTTCTGGGTCTCCCATATGGGGGCAGGGTCCCATGGCTTTGGGCCGTCTTCTGATGCTTTCCCAGGCCACAAGCAGGGAGTTGGATGAAAAGTAGAGCAGCTGAAACACAAACTGGCACCTAAATGGGAAGCCAGTGCTTGAAGGGGAAGGATTAGCCAGTTGAGCCTTCACACCAGCTTTTATTTATTTTTTTTTAAGGTTTATTTATTTATTGGAAAGCCAGATATACAGAGAGGAGAGACAGAGAGGAAGATCTTCCGTCTGATGATTCACTCCCCAAGTGGCCACAATGGCCAGTGCTGTGCCGATCCGAAGCCAGGATCCAGGAACTTCTTCCATGTCTCCCACGCTGGTGCAGGGTCCCAAAGCTCTGGGCCATCCTCGACTGCCTTCCCAGGCCACAAGCAGGGAGCTGGATGGGAAGTGAAGCTGCCGGGATTAGAACCGGTGCCCATATGGGATCCCGGGCATTCAAGGTGAGGACTTTAGCCACTAGGCCACGTTGCAGGGCCCCACACCAGCTTTTAAAAGTAGCTATTTTAGGCCCAGCACGGTAGACTAGCAGCTACAGTCCTCATCTTGAAAACGCACCAGGTTCTAATCCCGGCAGCCCAGCTTCCTATCCAGCTCCCTGCTTGTGGCCTGAGAAAGCAGTCGAGGACAGCCCAAAGCCTTGCAACTCTGTATCCGCGTGAGAGACCCAGAAGAGGCTCCTGGCTTCGGATCGGCACAATATCTGTTGTGGTCACTTGGGGAGTGAATCATTGGATGGAACATATTTCTCTCTGTTTCTCCTCTCTGTATATCTGACTTTGCAATAAAAATAAAATAGATCTTTTTTTAAAAAGTAGCTATTTTGATAGCATTTGATAGTCTATTCTGTTTATATATTTTTTAAGTTAACAATTCAGAGACATGCATTTGTTACGGCTTTGGAGTTGCTACTTGGGATACTGTATCACGTACTGCAGGGCTGACAGTGGCATCCTGCCTCAGTTCTTCTTCCAGCTTCTTGATCCTGCGCATTGCAGGAGAGAGCAGGTGAGGGCCCAGGTACTTGGGGCCCCACCACCCAGGAGCCCCAGTGGGAGACCCAGACTGACTTCCTGGCTCAGCATCAGCCTGGTCTGGCCCTGGCTGTTGGGGATGTTTGGGGAGTAAGCAAATGGAAATCTCTCTCTCTCATCATCTATTCTGTCTCTGCTTTCTAATGATTTCTTTTTTAATTTTGTAGTGCTTGAGATTTCAAATGTGCTGTAAATTTACTCTCTGAATTCCTCTGTTCAGTGTATGTCCTTAAAAATCTTGCTATTAGCACAAATACCACATTGAAAGTTTAAAGGATTGAAATATACTTGAAACCACAAAATTGTTTACCTTTTTCAAAACAATTTTCAAACTGGTTTTTGTTTTGTTTTGTTTTAGACAACACCTGGAGATGCTGATTGACCAGCTAAAAATTAAATTACAAGAGAGCCAGAATAACCTACAGGTCAACATGTCTGAACTTCAGGCGCTCCAGTCCGAGCATGATGCTCTGTTGGAAAGGCATAACCGGATGCTGCAGGAAACTGTGTCCAAAGAGGCCGAGCTTCGGGAAAAGTAAGGCTTCCGGCAGCGCTGTCCGTGTTTGCCCCGGGCAGCGGTGTGCTGCCCCGTTGGGATTTCTGATTTGGTGTTACACGGGATGCAAATTTGAAAATAAGAAATGGGTAGGTACTGTGGCAAGGCAGGTTAAACTACTGCTTGGGATGGCTACGTCCTATACCAGAGTTCCAGTTTGAATCCTGGCTCCCCCACTTCAGATCTGGCTTCCTACTAACATATCTTGGGGGGCAGCAGATGTTTGCCCAAGGACTTGCATCCCTGCCAACCACTTGGAAGGCATAGGTGGCATTCCGGTCTCCTGGCTTTGGCCTGGCCCAGCCCTCGCCATTGCAGGCATTTGGAAAACAATCACAGACAGAGACACTCTGCCTCTCACTTTGCCTCTCAAGTAAGTAAATATTGCATTTTGAGGATATATGTATATTTATGTGAAAAAGTTACAGAGGAAGAGACATAGAGACCCTCCATCTACTGGTCCACTCCCCAGATGGAAGCAACAACCAGGCCACAGTCAGCAACCAGAAGCCTGTTGCAGGTGTCTCCCTATGGGTTCAGGAGCCTAGGCACTTGAGCTATCCCGTACTGTTTCCCCAGGCGCGTTAGCAGGGAGATGCATCTTACTCAGAGCAGCTCATTCCCAAACCAGGACCAATATGATATGCTAGCATCATAGGGGATGTCTTTTTTTTAAAGGTTTATTTTTATTGAGAAGGCAGATATACAGAGAGAAGGAGAGACAGAGAGGAAGATCTTCCATCTGATGGTTCACTCCCCAAGTGGCCACCATGTTTGGAGCTGTACCTATCTGAAGCCAGGAGCCAGGAACCTCCTCCAGGTCTCCCACGCGGGTGCAGGGTCCCAAAGCATTGGGCTGTCCTCAACTGCTTTCCCAGGCCACAAGCAGGGAACTGGATGGGAAGCAGGATTGCTGGGATTAGAACTGGCACCCATTTGGGATCCTGGCATGTGCAAGGTGAGGACTTTAGCTGCTGTGCTATCGCATTGGGCCCCAGGTGGTTTCTTTATCTGCTACACCACAATATTGGCTCCAGTATATATTATTTTTTTAAAAAGAAAAGAAACAGAAACAGTTCTGAAGACTTTGATTGTATTCTCTCCACCTTAAGGCTTACCTTTTGGGACCCAGCGGCATGGCCTAGCAGCTAAAGTCCTTGCCTTGAACGCCCCGGGATCCCATATGGGGGCCGGTTCTAATCCTGGCAGCTCCACTTCCCATCCAGCTCCCTGCATGTGGCCTGGGAAAGCAGTGGAGGACGGCCCAAAGCTTTGGGACCCTGCACCTGCGTGGGAGACCCGGAGGAGGTTCCTGGATCCTGGTTTTGGATCGGCATAGCATCGCCGTTGCGCTCACTTGGGGAGTGAATCATTGGACGGAAGATCTTCCTCTCTGTCTCTCCTCTGTATATCTGACTTTCCAATAAATAAATATATCTTTAAAAAAAAAAAAAAAAAGCTTACCTTTTGGATTGCTTTTGTATTTAGTGTTTCAAAACCCATGTCCATTTAGTATTCTGTCTCTCCTGTACTCAAGGCCAAGTTGTTTCTCTAAAAAAAAAGAAAAAAAAATCTTGTATCTGGGACCAGCGTTGTGATGTGAGTCAAGCTGCAGTGTTAGCATCCATATGATGCCAGTCCAAGTGCTGGCCACCCTGCCTTCCAACCAGCTCCTTGCTGATATGCTTGGGAAAGCAGCAGAGTGGCACATGTGGGAAACGCAAACAAGTTTTGAGCTCCTGACTTAGCCTGTCCCCACCCCGGCTGTTACAGCCATTTGTGGAACCAACCAGCAGATGAACTCTTAAGAGGCGGGAAAAAACTTATTCTCAATATAGGTGTCAAATAGCAATCATTTTTCTTCATTTCTAATGAAAACATTCAAGCAGCAAATGCCTATTGAAAAGAATGCAACTCTGTCTTTGCCTTTTCATTATAATGCTTTAGACATTAGGACTAGGCAGAATCAGTGGATCGTGATGGTGTTCTTAAACCAAGGAAAAGAATTCTTTGAGCATCATTCATCAAGGGCGTTAGGGTGCTCAGTTGCACTCAATAAACACTACATCTTATTAACCTGAAAAGTGAAACTCTTGGGCTTCCTTGGCTTACACGACTGTGTTTAATAGAATATTCATGTAAACCAAAAGTTTAAGGGGAGATTTACCAATTTTCTAACTCCCTATTGCTAGGATTTGTCATAACATGAAGTTACATATAATGATGCATAATTAACGGCTGGCTCAGGACTTTTCTTACACATTTTGAAAACATATTTGGAAGCGATGACTTTGAGCTACTCGGAAAAACAACAGACACAGAGAGAGATCTTCCGCCCATCTGCTGGTTCGTTCCGCAAAGGCCTTCAGCAGCCAGGACCGGGGCAGGTGGGAGCCAGGAACTCATCCACGTCCCTCATGCGTAATAGAGACCCAAGTACTTGAGCCATCAAGGTGCCTTCCAGGGAGCTCAGTGGGGAGGAATTAGATCCGAACCGGAGAGAAGACTGGATCCCGGGCGTTCCAGTATGATCTCGGGTGGCAGCCAAACACCTGTGCTTCAGGAGAAGGCCCTTCCCCTCTGCTTCAGAAGTGTTAAAAATCTAGTGTTCTCAGCCACCTCTTCCCTGGTAAAGAGATGGCCTTTCCTTCAGTCATTCTGTTCTTCTTGCAATGCAGTTAATATTTGCATTGTCGTTTTTGAGATGCATCGGTATACCCCAGTAACAACTGGGATAGAAAAGTGAATTTCCCTCGGAGCAGCCAAGACCAGGAAGCAGGGGTTCGAGCCGCTGTCCTCCAAGTAGTTGAGTTTACAAGTGTCACCAGAAACTAGAATGGAAGCATTATCCTAATTGTGACTGTAAGTGACTCGTCCTTTACTTTCTTGCTGGATAGTGAACAAAATGCAAAAAAAAACTTAGCTAACTTCTCTGACATTTTCTGACTTATTAATTGTGAGCCTAGCAATTCAGATGCCCTTTCTAAAACTTAGTTCTATTTCATTTCTCTCTCCAGCTACAAAATTCTGTTTTAAGCTTAGGTAGTGGATAGAAAATAGTTGGGAACCTTGACAAGTTACATTCAAAATGTTGATAGCATTCATATAGCCCTGGAATTAGCGTTTTGTGCTACCGGAAGTTGGGAGTGAATAAAAGCAGGAAATGTACTTTTTAGCAAAACCAAACATATAAAACTACGTCCAAGTGGTGGTTGCCGAGTTGTAGGTCCTCGCGGGGACTGCGTTGATGGGAAGTTGGAAGTGGGCTAAAGCTGAGCGTTGAACCGGGCAGTCTCTTACGGAAAGCAGCCTTCTGAACTGCTAGGCTAAAACTAGGTTTATTTAAGGCTTGCTTTATGAGTCAAGAGTAACTATTCTTTACCACATTTTCTGTGTAATAGAGAAAATGTCATCCTGCATTTATGCGTGAGCCATCCCACAAGATGATTTGAAAAAAGTGGAATGCTTAAGGCTGTATTTTCTGCTGTTAATTATGATCCTATTTTCTGGTGAACTGTATTGGGATTTTCATCTGAGCCATGCCACACAACACAGCTTCTCAACTAAGGCTGCTCATTGGAGCTGTGAACACACAATGTCATTAGCCTGGATGGCAGCTTGTGGCGTTTCTCCCCAGGTGATTGCATAGCCAGCTGGATTGATGCGTTCGACTTGTGAGGGCTAATTTGCTTGCAGAAGCAGCCGGTTGAGGAAGCCAAATGGGCATATAGGGCTGAACGCTGTTTTTGTAAACTGAGTTCCTCCCCCGTCTCCAGGTTGTGTTCCGTACAGTCTGAGAATATAACGATGAAATCTGAACACGCACAGACTGTAAGCCAGCTAACCTCCCAGAACGAGGCCCTTCGCAACAGCTACCGGGAGCAGGTGCGACACTTGCAGGAGGAGCACAGGAAGACCGCCGAGACGTTGCAACAGCAGCTGTCCAAGGTGGAAGCTCAGCTCTTCCAGCTGAAGAGTGAGCCAGCCGCAAGAAGTACGTATGTGCCCACAGGGCCGAGGGCCTTCCTCACCAGGTCAGGAGGAAGTTGAAGATGGGTGTGGTGGCAGCTAGTGCCAGGTCCGTGAATAATGACTTGGCTGACCTACTTACTAGAAGGATGGTTGAACCGTTCTTAATTTTAACAAGTTACGTAACCTGTTGATGATTTTCATGCGTTTATTTCCTTCCATGTAGACGGGTTTTTTTGTTGTTGTTGTTATGACCCAAACATATTTTATCAGCATCAGGATGTGTGAGCCAGCATTAGTTTTCACTGGAGCTGCTTGGTGTTCTCAGTTGCTAGTCCTCAAGGAAGGGGCTTAGAAACATTCAAACACCACTGAACTTGTTGAATTGCTCGGCCAGCAGAGATTCTTAGCAATTTCCGATTGCTCAGAATTTGAGGTCAGTTGTTCTAGTTCCAGGAAGAGGTGGCAAAGCTGTTTTGCTGTAGTTCAGTAGTAATTTGCTCCTCATTGTTTTGTTTCCTGTGAAAAATGTTGCTGGAATATTGACAGCTGTGATCACGTGGCAGCCTCAGTAGCTAACCTGTGCCAGGAGTCAGCCAGAAAGAAGCAGTCGGCTTGAGAGGTTAGAACTTAGGAATCACTTGGAGAAGAGGCAATTAGCAAAATATCAGAAACTCAGGAAATTCTTCAGAAAGGGCAGAAGGCTGATCAAGGATTAGAAGAACAGGGAAGCAAGTTCATGCAGCGGAAATGATCTGAACTTCAAATCCCTTGGGATCAATGAAATACTGTGTCTGAGTATGAACTTCAAAGATGCGTGCAAGTAATCATTATCAGCCAAGCAGGCAGACTTTGCCCAATATACTCCACTAGCTCCTGGCCCTAAATTCTGGGCTTGACCTGTGGGGATGCTGTAGATGGGCCGAAGCGTGTTGGGGACCAGCAGGAATACCAGTGTGAGCATCGTGGTGAGGACCAGCTGCTGAGCAGAGTCAGCAGTTGCATGACATCAGTAAGATGCCAGCATCAGCAATGCCTGACCCACAGAAGGGCTGGCCTGCAGTTTGTGGAATTTAAACAGTGTTACCTTTGTCCGTACAAAACTAAGTAAAGAAGAACTTCGTATCATTACAGTGTCGCTTTAACTTAACTGCAGCAACTAATTTATTATGACTTCTGCGGAAGTGACTAAAATCTTTACAAGTTCAATGACAGAATTTTGGGACGAGTTCCCCGTTCCTCCTTACACTCTTTGCCTGTGTTCTGTTGTTTAATTCCCTACCACGTCAGCATCCGCGGGGTCATTGTCGTTTTGTTATATATCCCTGTTAAAGTTGCATCTGTCGGTCTTGAACAATCTCACGCTTAAAAAAAAAAAAACCTTTAATAGGCCCAGCTTCCTCTCATCAGTCTTTGAAGAACCTTCGAGAAAGGAGAAACACAGACCTCCCACTCCTAGATATACACACGACGGCCCGGGAAGAAGGAGAAGGGATGGAAACCACTGACGCCGAATCTGTTTCTTCTGCCGGCACGTACACCCAGTCTTTAGAACAGCTGCTGACTTCTCCCGAAACCAAACTTGGTATGTTCCTCTGGCTAAGCATGTTCCTCTTAGTTAACTTTGCTATAGATTTTTTTAGACAATTTTACATGTATTTTTTTTTTTTTAAGATTTTTTGGGGGGAGGGGGAAGCTGTAGTAACAGAAGAGAGAGCCAGAGAAAGAGAGCTTGCATCCACTGGTTCCCTCCAGAAATGCCTGCTGTCACTTGGGCCGGGCCCAGCACCAAGGAGCCTGGAAGTCTGTCTCCTGTGTGAGTGGCAGGGACCCAAGTACTCGAACCATCCTGCTGCTGCTTTGCCAGGCACGTTAGCACAGAGCCACATTGGAAGCGAGATTGATCCAGCCCTCTGAAATGGGATGTCAGCAGCTCAAGTGGTGGCTTAATCCACTCAACCGTGATGCCTGATCTGCTGAGCCGGCCGAAGCCTTTGAACTGTGGATCCAATCCAGGGCCCCTGTGTGGGCGGCAGGACCCCAGCTTAAATCATTACCTCCTCCCTCCCAAAGATACATCAGCAGGAAGCTGAAATCAGCAGCAAATCAGTACTCAAACCCAAGCACTCCAGCACACGCTGTAGGCGTCCCAAGCAGGTGTCTTAATCAGCACACCCAGAACCAAACCTTGTTTTTGCTGTTTTTTGTAACTGGTATTACTTTAAGTTATATATATCTTAGCACAGTGGCTAAGATACCTCCCTGGATTGCTTGCATCCATTACTCAAAGTACATGGGCTCAGTGGGCCCAGCATGGCAGCCTAGTGGCTAAAGTCCTTGCCTTGAACATGCCGATGTCCCATATGGGTGCTGGTTCTAATCCTGGCGGCCCCGCTTCCCATCCAGCTCCCTGCCTGTGGCTGCACCAGGCTAAAGCTAGGAGCCCAGGGCATCTTCTGAGTCTCCCACATAGGTACAGGGTTCCAATTACTGGAACCATTTACTGCTACTCTCCCAGGCACATTAGCAGGCAGCCGGATTGGAAGTGGAACAGCCAGGGGCTCAAACCAGCACCAGTATGGGATGCTAGCATTGCAAGTAGTAGCTTTACCCACTGTACCACAGTGATGCTCTAGAAAATTCTTGAAGGATCTGTGATGTAAGTGATCAGTAAATGTTACTGCTTCCCTCATTTGTAAGTGAAGTGACTGTTTTTAACATTGATAGATGGGGCCTGGCGCAGTGGCCTAGTGGCTAAAGTCCTCGCCTTGAACGCGCCCCGGGATCCCATATGGGTGCCAGTTCTAATCCCAGCAGCTCCAGTTCCCATCCAGCTCCCTGCTTGTGGCCTGGGAAAGCAGTCCAGGATGGTGCAAAACCTTGGGATCCCGCACCCACATGGGAGACCTGGAGAAGGCTCCTGGCTCCTGCATCCTGATCGGCACAGCACCAGCCATTGCGCTCACGAATCATCAGACGGAAGATCTTCCTCTCTGTCTCTCCTCCTCTCTGCTATCTGACTTTGTAATAAAAAATAAATAAATCTTAAAAAAAATTGATAGATGAAACTGGTAAAATAATGTAAAAAGAAAAGCTTGACAGGCTTCAGCGTTGGGACTCAGGGCTTATATTCAGTTGAGTTATATTGCAGCAGGGATTCATCTTTGTAGAATATTCGACATGTGATATTATACTTCAGCTACATTTAATGAATGAATGCCATACAACAGGCCCGTAGAGTTAAGGGTAAGGTATTTCTTTTCGAATGTTTTTCATAGTAAGACTCTTCTGCAGTCCCTGATTTTGCAAACTAATTCATGGAATGTCTTACAGAGCCTCCTCTATGGCATGCAGAATTTACCAAAGAAGAATTGGTGCAGAAACTCAGTACCACAACAAAAAGTGCAGATCATTTAAACGGCCTGCTTCGGGAAACAGAAGCCACCAATGCAATTCTTATGGAGCAAATTAAGGTAAGGTCGAAAAATAGAAAAATACTCCATCCCGATTTGGTATGCATGCATACAACCCAAATTGAAAGTTCGCATTTCAGCTACAGCCACAGGGTTTTGCCTTTTACTTTAGATTCCTGACAGTGAGCATTAGTAATTGCTTTTGTGTTTGCTATGTGATGACTCTTATTTCTGCTCTTTCTGAGTGACCATAATAGAAATTGAGGTGGTGTTCCCGGGTCATTGTTCCACATACACGTCAGACAAACCTGCACAGGAATAGTTCCTTAAATTCTAACGATAAACAGCAGACACTTCAAAATCAAATCAGCTAGAAACTTTTAGCTTTCGGTTGAAAGATGAAGGTTGTCTCACGGCTGCAGCCATTCGCCCAGGTTGCCACCCCACTCCCCACCCGGGACACGGCTGGTCATTTGGTGATCCAGGCTGAGGTTCCTGAGCCCCACCCAGCTCAACCAACAGCACATTGCGTGTGGCCTCAGACTGCTTGTTCTGCTGTCCCAGTCTCGTGAATCCTGCACTTTCTAAGCATCTGTGCAGTCTGTCTTTCTTACCAAGTACCGATCCTGCTCTCGAAGCCCTGCTGTTGGCCAGTGCCAATGCTAGCAGCTGCCACTCCTGACTTAGCTGAGAATCTGCGTCTTAGGCCCACGTGCTGTAACACCGGCAGCCCTGAGAACATCCGGGAAGCTGCTAACTCCAGTCCTAAGCCTACGGCTATAACTGGAGACCTGCATCTAGGCATCATGCAGCAACAGCAGCACACCAGATGCTTGTACGGAGACTACTACAGCATGAAGGTATTGGAAGGCCATCCTGTGGAGTCCAACTGGAACTGAAGTCAAGGCTGCCTACCAAACACATTGTCAGGAAGAAACTGTGAGTCAACAAAGCTGTCTTCTGAAAGTTATAGAAACAGTCTGTGCCCCAAAAGAGACTCAGTACCAGACCATGAAGAAGATTGATTAAATGTCTGGGAAAGAATTCATAATAATGACGCTAAGGTTACTCTGATAGAAGAAAGCACAGATCAATAGTTAAATGAAATTAGGAATTTAGTAGATGACTTGAATAAGAAGTTCAGTAAAGAGTGATTGAATAAGAACCAAATGAATGGTAGATATTTAAAAAAAAGTCAGCAATAAAAAATAAGAAGTGTCAAGTGTCCAGGCTCTTTGGGAATACCATAATATGAACCAGTAATTGCATTTGGGGGAATTTTTTTTAAAGATTTATTGATTATTTTTATTACAAAGTCAGATATACAGAGAGGAGGAGAGACAAAGAAGAAGATCTTCTGTCCGATGATTCACTCCCCAAGTGAGCGCAATGGCCGATGCTATGCCGTTCCTAAGCCAGGATCCAGGAACCTCTTCCGGGTCTCCCACACGGGTGCAGGGTCCCAAAGCTTTGGGCCGTCCTGGACTGCTTTCCCAAGCCACAAGCAGGGAACTGGATGGGGAAGTAGAGCTTCCGGGATTAGAACCGGTGCCCGTATGGGATCCCAGCGCCTTCAAGGTGAGGACTTTAGCTGCTAGGCCACACCGCCGCCAGGCCCCCATTTGGGGAATTTTTTTGAAGGGATGGACACCAAAAGAATGACTTGGGCAATCAAGGAAATAGAAGCAAAGAAACTTGTCCAAGTTAGAGAAAGACATGGACAAGCAAAGGGAGGAAAGTCACAGATCCCCAGAGAAACATCAGAAAAGGACCTCACCGTGGTCCACGTAATAGTCAACCTTCCAAAGTAGGAGTGTCCTCAGAATGCGCTAGAGAAAAGTACCAGGGCATTGTTAAGAGGTCCTGTTAGGTTGACAGCAGAAAACCGATCTTCCAGACCCAGAGAGAATGGAGAGAGACAGTTCAACTTCTGAAAGAAGATCAGTGTGAGCCCAAAATGCTTTACTCCATGAAGCTCTCATTCATGAATTAAGGTGAAATGATGGCTTTGCCAGACAAGCAAAAACAAAGAGTTGCACATCCAACCAGCCTTACAAATGATACTTAAGAATCTGCTAAAAAAAAAACACAGAAACAAAGAGAGTACACAACATGAAGGAGTATTGCAAGAATAACAAAAAAGCAAAATTTGTATCCCGGCTGCTCCACTTCCCATCCAGCTCCCTGCCTGACCTGGGAAAGCAGCAGAGGACAGTCCAAACCCCTGGCACCTGGTGGAGGCTCCTGGCTCCTGGCTTCAGATCGGATCGGCTCAGCTCCGCTCGGCTCCAGCCGTTGCGGCCACTTGGGACGTTAACCAGCAATGGAAGGTCTATCTCTCTGCATCTACTCCTATAAATCTGCCTTTCCAATAAAAATAAGTAAATCTTTTTAAAAAGGAAAAAAAAAAAAAAGGAATGACATATAATTGTAAATGTATCTTAAGCTGGAGCAGAGTTGTGCCAAAAAAATTCAGTGGAGACATAAGCTCCATTACAACAGTTAACACCAACTTTGATTAATGGCCAGACCAACAAGACAAAATCAAAGAAATAACAGACTTACCCTACAGTAGACCAGGTGGACCTGGTTTAAAGGCCAGTCTGTCTCCTCCTGTAGCACATGGAACATTTTCTAGGATAGACCATATACAAATTACGTATTATCTCTACAACTTCAAAAAAATTGAAATCTTTTAATATATTTTTGAATATGTCTTCATTGATTTGAAAGGCAAAGTTAGAGTAAGAGACAGCTTTCATCCTCTGGTTCAGTCTCCAGGCGGCTGCAACAGCCAGGACTGGGCTAAGCTGAAGCCGGGAGCTTACACCGGATCTCCCGCTGAAGTGCAAGGGTCCAAGCACATTGACCGCCTTCTGCTTTCCAAGTCATATTATCAGGGACCTGAAATGGAAGTGCAGCATCTGGGATTCAAACCAGTGTTCCTATGGGATGCTGACACTGCCTCCCATGCTCCACCACCATGCCAGAAAAATAAATAAACAAACAAACAGCTGGAATCTTGTATCTCCTCTAATCATTTTGGGGGAAAAAAAGTTGAAAATTAACAAGAAACTAAAAGTTAAATGAATGTAGAGACTGAAGAATATCCTCTTAAAATGTAAATTAAATTCTGTGAAACCAGTGAAAGTAGAAACACAGGATACAAAAATTTATGTAAAATACTGCAGAAGCGGTGTTAGCAGCTTATAACAATACGTGTTTAGTTTTTAAAAAACCGTCTGAAGAACCTAGAAAAACAAAAAAAAAACAAGCCAAAATTAGATTAGGAAGAAATAATAAAAATTGAAGAAATAAGCAGTGGAAATTATTTTGAAATACAAAAGGTCAATCCGTTTTAAGTACAGAAGGTTAACACATGAACAGAATTATAAACCAGTGGCAAGATTAATGAAGAAAATAGGAAACTTATCCTACAGAAGTTCAAAAATTGAACACGGAATTGTTCGGGACACGTGTATGCCACCAACTTGGGAAGGCTAGAAGAGATAGCTAGATTTACAAAAGCATAACTGAAACCTTGAATCACAAAGACAGAGAACATGAACAGGCGAGAGTGAATCCATAACAAAAGAGCGTTCCCAGCAAAGAAACAGGCCGGATGGCTTCACCGCTGAGCCCTGCCAGATGTTAGAGGGACAACAGTGACATCCCAAGCATTGCAGACGGTTGGCAAGGAGGAAGCCTTCCAAACTTACACCATGAAATCAACTTTTATTCCAAAGCTAGACTGGGGAACAACACAAGAGGACAGGAGACTACTACCCCAGGGGAACACAGAGCTCAGATACTCCACAAAAATACTGGCAAATTGTCTGCAGTAACGGATCAACAAGACCATCCACGCTGACCGGGTGGCGTTTGTCCCAGAGGTGCAGGCGTGGTGCAACAACACACGTCAGTCAGCGTGCTGCATCACATTCAAAAAAAGAAGAAAGAAACATCATGTATCTTTCCTGACCACAGTGGAATAAACCTGGAAATTAGCTACAGGAAAAACTAGGAACTATGCAAATAAAATTTGCATGAAGAATCAAAATCATAATTATCTCAGTAGATGCAAAGAAAACATTTGACAATCCATAGTATGCTTTCAAGATAAAAGGAATGTAACACTTAGTAAAGGTTATATCTGGCAAGATCACAGAAACTGTCATACCAAACAAAGTAAAAGCTCGAAACATTTCTGTTAATATCTGGAAACAGACAAGGAAATCAACTCTTGCCACTCTTACTCAATATAGTCGGGAAGTTTTAACCAGAGCCATGAGGCAAGACGAAAGTCAATGGTATATAGACCACAAAAGAAGAAGTCAAATTAGCCCTAATTTTAGATACAGACCCTGTCTAGAGGAAACAAAATACTCCACCAAGAGGCTATTAGGATTAAGTCAAGTTAAAGGATACAGATTCAGTGCATAAAAGTCACTTTAATATGCCAACAGTGATTTTATTGAGAAATTATTATAATGACCCCATCTACAGTCGCTACAGAATACATCACATATTAGAGTACTGAGTTCAGAACCTGTCTCCAGCTTTAACTTCGCCTCCTGCTAAGCTTACTTCCTCCGTGCAGAAAGACAGCAAGGATGGCCCAACTCACTAGGCTCTCTCGCTTGGACGACCTGGGTTGAGCTGTCAGGTCCTGGCTGTGGCCATGCCCCGTCCCAGGTGCTGCGAGCATTAGACCTGGGTTGAGCTGTCAGGTCCTGGCTGTGGCCATGCCCCGTCCCAGGTGCTGCGAGCATTAGACCTGGGTTGAGCTGTCAGGTCCTGGCTGTGGCCATGCCCCGTCCCAGGTGCTGTGAGCATTAGACCTGGGTTGAGCTGTCAGGTCCTGGCTGTGGCCATGCCCCGTCCCAGGTGCTGCGAGCATTAGACCTGGGTTGAGCTGTCAGGTCCTGGCTGTGGCCATGCCCCGTCCCAGGTGCTGTGAGCATTAGACCTGGGTTGAGCTGTCAGGTCCTGGCTGTGGCCATGCCCCGTCCCAGGTGCTGTGAGCATTAGACCTGGGTTGAGCTGTCAGGTCCTGGCTGTGGCCATGCCCCGTCCCAGGTGCTGTGAGCATTTAGACCTGGGTTGAGCTGTCAGGTCCTGGCTGTGGCCATGCCCCGTCCCAGGTGCTGTGAGCATCTGTGGAGTAAACCAGTAGATAAAAACAGATGTGCTGTCTCTCCCCTCTCAGGCTTTTAGTATTCTTTTTTATTTTACTAGTACCCAGTTCTTTTTTTAAAAAAAAAAAAAAAATTTTTATTTTAATGTTTACTGCAAAGGTGAGGGATTGCAGGCCTATGTGGGCCTCCAGTTAGGATGGAGAGGGTAAGAGCAGGAAGGTGAGTGGGATAAATCATTGTTTTCCCTCCGTTTTCCATGGTAGCAGGGAGGAGAAGGCGCACTGCTCCTTTACCAGTGTCCTGGGAGACAGTCGTCTGAGGCCCAAGGGTGTTTACTCTAGTGGCCTTTCTGTTTTTTTGTTTTTGTTTTTGTTTTTATTGGAAAGGTAGATTTACAAAGCAGGAGAGACAGATCTTCTATCCCTCTGGTTCACTCCCCAAGCAGGCGCAGAGCTGGAGCTAAGCCAGAGCAATGTCTGGGTCCCCCACATGCGTGCAGGGTCCCAAGGCCTTGGGCCATCCTCTGCTGCTTTCCCAGGCCACAAACGGAGCTCAACGGGAAGTGGCACACTTGGGATACGAACCGGTGCCCATACAGGATCCCAGATGTGCAAGGCAAGGCTTTAGCCACCAGGCCATCACGCCAGGCCCACTTTAGAGGTCTTGATTGCTTCCTTGCACCAGAGTTGAGACATTCTAAGGCCTGCTGGCTGCCCTTGTCCTCCTCCATGTGCCCACAGAACTAGGTGCTTCTTCTAGAGCCTGGCCTAGAGTGTTACCTAAACTCTTTCTGTCCATCGTTTCGTGAGGTACTCGAAGTTCTGTTAACTTGGATGAGCTGGCTGCCTGGGCTTTCATGTTACCCTGAGGATGCTCTCCATTCCTGCACGATGGGGAGCAGCTGAGGTAGCCTCAACCTGCACCATGTCCTCCAGGATTGGCCCTACGTGTCTGTGATTTTTCCCGAGGTCAGGGGTTGAGCACAGTATTGTGGTTGGTGAAGCCCAAGACACCTCACCCGGGAGGTCCTCAGACCTTGTTTTCCTATGTGCTACCTCAGTCTGCCCCTGTGCCAGCCAATTCACATGCCAGTGTGTGCAGCTGCCTAGTCAGTGCCACGCCCAGCGCTGGTCTCACCTGAACGGGTGGGTGCTGCAGCATGGTCGGGACGATCCTGAAGAACCCTCAGCTGGCCTGCCCCCCAGCCCTTGTTTTTAGGCATGCCAGTGATGACTGAGGCCCAGCCCTGCCCAGCCAGCTCTCCCCTCTCTGTCTTGTGAATATGCCAAAAGACTAGATGGCTGCTATCTATATGGCCCAGACTTAACCCAGACTGTAAGTGGGGATAGAAAAGATGGCCTAGCTAGTCTTCACTAAAGTCAACACCAGAAGTATCCAGGAATGTTGTAGAACAGTTCAGACAGTTCAAAGGAGGTGTGCGTCTGTTTTCAACGTACATATATTTATTTTCAGAGTCAGGATTATAGGGGGAGAGAGAGCGATCACTCTTGCATCTGCTGGCTCACTTCCCAGATGACTGCATCGGCCAGCAGCGTGCCAGGCCCCTGGCGGGCAGCTGGGTTGGAAGTGGAGCAGACTTGATCTGTTATGCCAGCATGGCCACCAGCAGCCACGCACACTGCACCAGCCGCTCAGAGATGTTTCCATGAGCTCACTCACTAATTGGTCATGTTTTCCTGGAGCAGTTCTCATGCTCCTCACCCTGGACTTGACATGTAGCATTCATCCCAGCAAATGGGAGAAAACATGAAGCTAGCAACTGCTGGAACAAAATTGGAACTCAAGCCTGTCAGGAAAGCACGTGTTCATGTGCTGCTTTCTGCTGCCCAGAAAACATTGCTCCTGCTTCGTGGAGGGCCAGGGCCGCAGCTTTGCTTCTCAGAAAAGCTTGTTCTAGTGCTCATTTACTTGTCACCTGGAGTGTAACAAAAGCTACTGCTTTGGTTCAACATGAGACTCCTCAAAGACTTCAGCAGCAGTCTCAATCACAATATATTGCCTTATGTTCCTGGCTGTTCACCCTATTCCAGAAAAAGGCCTCTGTGTTGATTTTGTGTGGACCATGTAGCAGCCTGAGCAGAGAGCCGCACTGGCTCGGGAGGATGCGAGCTCGGGAGGATGCAGGCTCTGGAGGATGCGGGCTCGGGAGGAGGCGGGCTCGGGAGGAGGCGGGCTCGGGAGGAGGCGGGCTCGAGGCAGTGTCACGGTACCGTCTTCTTACCTCCCGTCAGTTCCCCAGCTTTCAGCGCCTATTTCCATGTACCTTGTGCTTCCAAAGCAAAAACGCAAGACGCATCCTCTTTCCTCCGCAGTGGGACCAAGTTCGCAGTCACGTCACCTGCTTCCTGCCATCTTGAAATTTCTTTCTCTGATCTGTTCTCTCCTTGAGACTCCATTATTATCATTTAGGTTAGGGGGTAGTGGAGGGGAGGGAGGACCGGGATTTAGGAGAGAGAAGTAAAACGCAAGTGTTGGGTTTGCCATGTTTAAGCAGAAACTCCTGAAACTCCATTTTTTAACTCATTTCTCTGACATCAGCTTCTTAAGAGTGAAATAAGAAGATTGGAAAGAAATCAAGAGAGAGAGAAGTCTGTGGCCAACCTGGAATACTTGAAGAATGTCTTGCTCCAGTTCATCTTCCTAAGACCTGGAAGTGAGAGAGAGCGACTGCTCCCTGTCATAGACACGATGTTGCAACTCAGTCCTGAAGAGAAGGGCAAGCTTGCGGTCATTGCTCAAGGTGGGTCAGACAAGACCTCTACAACTTTGCAGTTTAGACTGAATAGCTGGTATGGTGGTTTGAGAACCCCTCTGCCCTGTCTGCTCATTTCTCGTAACACATGGACTTCAAATGTTGTTCATTGGGGCTCCTACCATCATATGTGGCACCTTTGGCTAAATTTGAAAAGTCGGGGGTTTTTTTGGTTTTTGCATGCTTTTTCTCGACTGGAGAGGTTGAGAAAAACAGATAAATGGAGACAAGAGAGCTTCTACCCACTGGATCAGACTCCACATGCCTGTGGCAGCCAGGCCTGGGCCAGCCACAGCCTGGAGCTGGGAATTCAGGCTGGGCCTCTCCCGTGGTGGCAGGGACCCAATGCATCATCTGCCTCCCGGGCCTCTCCCGTGGTGGCAGGGACCCAATGCATCATCTGCCTCCCGGGCCTCTCCCGTGGTGGCAGGGACCCAACGCATCATCTGCCTCCCGGGATGCTCTTGAGCAGGAAGTGGGGTCAGTGGCAGAGGCACCTGCTCCGCCAGGAAATATGGCCGTTCCCAGCAGTGACCTAAAGCCTGTGCCAAGCTTTCACCCCTAAAAGCTCACTTTTTAAAAGTCTGAGGCAGTTACAGCTCTATGTATAAAATTTTAATATTCAGCGATACAGTACAATGCTTAGTCTCAACTTTTAGTTATTAGAATATTGAATTATCCTCGTGTCAGGAAATGCTTGCCATCCTCCTTTCTTTTGATGTATATTACCGGCTGCTCTTCTGCTTCTTCCCCTCCCACCAGCAGATAGTCCAGGGACAGCCCAGCACCTGGTCCCCGTCCGCACAGAGGCAGCCTCAGAGCCGACGGAGGCTGGACAGGGGAATACTGTGTTGGACGTCTCTGTAGTGCTTTGGAATGTCCACCTGCACCGGCTGCTGAGTTTACTTGACCTCACCCTGCCTCTTCAGAATCAGTGCTTCCTATTTTTGGTTGAATTTTAAAACATTTTATTACTCACATCCTCAAGCCTACAGAAAAAATAGAGTAAGATTATTGTAGCTGTCACCCATCTAATAATTTTTAACAACCAGCCAGTGTTTAGCGGGAGGGTTTAAAGCAAACCCTGCCTACCAAAGCATTTCCCCAGAGAACACTTCAGTGTTTCTGAGAGGGATGTCTCGTCTGTGCCCAGTTCATATGTGGGGAATCACATATGACATTCAGATCCCAGGTAGGGCGCATGTGTTGGCGGTAGACCGCCTGCCCTTCGAGATTGATGGTGTTGACTTGTTCACCTGTGACAAATCCATGTTCCTCTGTAAAAACACCGTGTGTTGAAGAAACAGTTCGTTTGTCCTGTAGGAGTCCTCTGCCTTGGACTTGGCACTTCTGCGTGGCATTGCACTTTTACTCCGGTGGCCTACGAACGGGAAGTTAGAACTAACTAGATCTAAGTGCAGTTGACTGGACTCAGGCCAAAAAACACTTTAGTGGTAACCGTGTGTTGTTTAAACCATCCTTAGTAAGTCCCAAGGATCTTTATCCCAATTTGACTGTTTTCCCTCTCTTAACGCATCCACCTACCACCTCTAAACTGTCTTAAACTGCTAGATCAGAACTCGGTGAGCCTGAGAAGCTTCTGAAGTGCTTAGTAAAACTCAGATTCTTGGACCATACTCCAATTTCTAACCCAAGAGCTTGTGTTCTAACCTGGTGTTGCCAGTACTGGTCTGGGGACTGTAACGTAAGAAGCGCTCCTCTCGGGTGAGCACTATGGCAGCCGGCTGTACGAGCAGGCAGATGGGTTCAAGACCCAGCTGTTCACTTCCCGTCCAGCTGCTTGCTAATGCATTTGGAAAAGCCATGGCATATGGCCCAAGTGCCTGAGTTCCTGAACCCACCTGGGAGAAGCTCCTGATTCCTGGCTTCAGCCTGGCCCAGCCCTGGCCATTGCAGCCATTTGAAGACTGAACCAGCAAATGAAAGATGCTCTCTCTCCCTTCCTCCCTTCCTCCTTTCCTCCCTCTCCCTCGCTCCCCCTTTCCCCTCTTTCCCTTCCTCTCTCCTTCTTCTTATCCCCTCCCACCCTGCCCCTTCCTCTCTTCCTCTTTCTCTGTAACTCTTTCAAATAAATCTTTAAAAGAAGAAGCCCTGAGTGAAGGGTCTGTTACGAATCAGGATTCAGTGTTTCTGCAGGAGTGGCTTTAAAGGTACCGTCAGTGCATCTTTGTAATGAAGAAGGAAGAATGTCCTTAGTTGTGGTACAGTGGGTTGAGCTGCTGCCTACAACATCAGCATTCTCTGTCAGAGCATGGCTTCAAGTCCTGCCTGCTCCCAATCCACCCCTGGTCCAAGTGCTCCGGTGCCTGCCACCCTCGTAAGAGACCTGGAGAAATGCAGTTAGCTCACTGCTATGCATACAATATGAATCTTTTTAAAGATTTATTTCTTTGAAACTCAGAGTTACGGGAAAAAAGAGGCTGACAGATCTTCCATCCACCTATTCTTTCCCGTAATGGCTGTAGTGCCCAGGACTGGGCCAAAGTGGAACCCAGAGCCTGGCACTCCGTCTCGGTCTCTCACATTCGTGGCAGGGGCCCAAGCACTCGGGCCGTCCTCCACTGCTCTCCCAGGAGTGTTAGCGAGGGGCTGCTGAGAAGTGAAACAACCAGGATGCAAGCTGAATCCAATGAGATCTTCCCCGTGCCACAATGCCGGCCTGTTAACCAGCTTACAGGTGATGTCAAGTTGCTTTTAAGCAGCCATCAGGAACACTGACACCCTAAGCAGAAGTGCCAGGGCTGCTTGAAGCAATCTGTCACGGTCCTGTGTGAGGTGACGATGTTGAAAGCAGCAGTGGTCTCCAAGTAAGAAATTTCAAGAAGCGAAGACTGGCTCTGCTGACACCACTGGTGCTGCTTCTCCCTTCCGCTGCACCGCCGGCCTCTGGTCCTTATGCTCTCGGGGCCTGCCTGGGACAGAGACGCTGTCCACACAGAGCTGCTGAAATCCACAGCACGGCCAAGTGCAGATGAACACTTGGCAGTCCACTTTTCACTTTGAGGAAATGTTTCCTGTCTCCTGACTTCCTGATTCTAACAGCAAGCCCACCGTCCCAACACATATCAGTGCCCGGTTCATGTCTCCATGATAGTTCTTGCTCAGCTTTCCTGAAGCTCTCCGTGCAGACTGCGGGAGACTTTGAGTTTGTGTCTGGTGTTCCCCAGTGGCCCAGGGTAGTGCCCAGTGGCCCAGGGTAGTGCCCAGTGGCCCCAGGGTAGTGCCCAGTGGCCCAGGGTAGTGCCCAGTGGCCCAGGGTAGTGCTGTTGGCAGCGGGTTGATCCTACATCATGTAGTTAGGCTGGTCGGGGAGGATTACCTAGCGGGAGCAGCCATGGTCAGTAGGCAAGCCGCAGCTTAGGACGTCCACACCCCGCAGGTGCCTGTGTAGAGGCCTGGCTACTCTCTGCTTCCAGTCCGGTTTCCTCTTGATGTGTGCTGTGAGGCAGCATGATAACCAAGTGCTTGAATTACTGCCATCCACCTGGGAAACCTGGCTGCAGTTCCTGGCTCTTGATGTACAATTCCTGTCGCCCATTTGCTGTTGTCCCTGTTGTACATTTGGGCCATTCTTATTCATAGGTGTGGAGTGATTCGTGGGTCTTCAAGGCAGCCCCTCCTATCCAGCCCAGAGGCCAGAAAGGGTGGAAGTGCCTTAATGAAACCCCGGTGCCAGTCCCAGATCCTGGCTTGCCAGGAGAGTCCTCTGAGATGACTGTAATCTGATTCACATGGGTCCTGGCATAGCTCATGTTGACAGCTGACCTCTACATTAACGCTGGGATGGCATCAAGGCAGCTTCCACAGAGACTGCAAAGGAGAGCCCGGTAGGCCAGGTGGACTTGTATTATGCGACTGGGGCCCCTGGGGAACTGTGGGAGTAAAGCTGTACTGACGTGTGTCAGAGCTGCAAGCAGTGTGCTGGGCACAACTCGGAAAGCTGCAGACACATGGCAGCAGCAAAGAAGAGCAGAGCTGTGAAGCTGCGGAGCCCTCTGCTAAGGTTTCAGAGGGTGTCTCGTCACCCTGGGGGAAAGAGGGGCAGAGCCCTGACGTGGGCAGAGCCGCTGCAAAGAAACCACAGCGGTGCAATGGCTGGCAGAGGTCCAGAGACGGGGCACCAGGCTGTGAGAATTGGAGCATTGGCTGTGGCCAGCAGAGCCGAATGGAGCAGCTGCTGCAACACCTGAGCACTCGCCCTAACAGTGAGCCCAGGGTGCTGGACACGGAGCTCTCAGATGTCATGTTTGCCCTGCTAAGCTCTGATCAATTCATGGTACACTGCTGGAGGACTTTGAAGAGGTTTTTGAAGGATTAAAGCTTTGTTTTTATTGAAGTTTTGTGTTTATTATAAACCTGTTAGAGTTTGAGTTACATAAAGGCCCATGTTTAAAAGAATATTTTAAAATTGCCTGTGTCAAGAACAGTACTTAGGGGTGCTGTGTACTTTATTTTTAAATTGTCCAATAAAGAAGACAAACATTGAATATTCAAGAGCAAACAAAAGTATATGATAAAATGTTTGAATAGTGGAGACATTTTGTATGTGCTAGTAACACTGCTTATCTATAGAGAATCATTTCTATACTTTTTAGCTATTAATTTTAAATTAAGCCACTTGAAGGTAGTTAATGGATCGCTTCTTTTGCCATTTTTTTGTCTTAAGACTGGCTTTTATTTAAAAGGCAAAATTATGCAGAAAGAGAGAGAGAGAAAAATCTCCAATGCACTGGTTCACTACCCAAATGGCCACATTGATCAGAACTGAGCCTATCTGAAGCCAGGAGCCAGAAGCTTCTTGAGCATTCCTCTGCTGCCGCGTTCCCAGGCAATAAGCAGGGAGCTGGGTTGAAAACGGAGCAGCCAGAACGGATGCCCATGTGGCATGCTTAGCATGTTATGCCATGGCACCAGCCCCACAGCTGGGCGTGTCTAAGTGGTAGTATAAAAAGTGAGAGCGTCATAGCGGAACGAGTAAAGCTGGGAGTGTTGGCGCTGACATCCCCTTTGGAATTCCAGTCTGAATCTCAGCTGCAGTGCCTCGGATCCAGCTTCCTGCCGATGGGCCTGCGGCGAGCAGCAGGCTGTTGTACTTAAGCCCTGCCACCTACCAAAGGGACGGGAGCGGAGTCCTGGCTCTGGCTTTATGACGGCCCAGATGTGGCTTTGGAAGTGAGGAGTGAACCAGCAAACAGAAAATCTGTGTGCCTCTATCTCTCTATTTCGTCCTCTCTTGGTCGCTCTGCCTTTGAGACAAATTAAGCGAATCTCTAAACTGCATAAAACATCAAATTATCCATTGGTGTAACTGAGGAAGTCTATTGTACCTTCAGCAAATTCAGCATAGTAAATAACGGTGAAAAATACACTATTTTCTCATGTCATGTGGTGATTCTAGAACATAGATTTCACATTTAAAAAAGACTAACACTTTTTTTTTCCTGCTTTCCAAAGGGGAGGAAGAAAGCGCTTCCCGTTCTTCTGGCTGGGCCTCCTATCTGCACAGCTGGTCTGGACTTCGGTAGACTGCTAGAAACAAGAGTTGTTTGTTAACCAAAAATCCATCGGGGGAAAAAGGCTTCATGCATTTACTGTCGTTCTTCTGTCCGTGTGTAGGTTCACTTCCTTATAGGTCCTTATATGACACAGGTGTACAAAGAAAGAACCTTAGCTTAAAGTGTTGATACAGCCTATAGCCACCTGGCCCGGCGCAGCGGAGAGCGCAGCTGAGCGAGCCCCCTGCACGACTTCAGCATGAAGACACAGAAGCCTGGGGCCGCCCACTCACACCAGTACTGTGAATTTTAAAGTTGAACTAAATTTTGGTACCCTATCAGCTGGAATTTTTCAGTTTTTTAAAACGATTCCAAAACTGCTCATTGCAGCTAGATTGCAGAAGTTGTTGAGAAGATTTGGGAATTAGAATGTGAAGGAAATCGTTCTTACATGGATCAAGGGATCATGAAGTTACAGTTTAGTTATTTAAGCTACTCTCTGTCTCTCCAAAGCGCATGATCTGAGAACTCAGTCTGAAGCCATTGTGCTGGCCAGGGTGACACCGAGCAGACGGCCCGGCTCTCGGGGCGGGCGAGTTCCTGCTGTCTGCAGCTGCTGAGAGGGCACCACTGCCGTGGGCCTGTTTGGAAAACACTATCTCTACGCCCAGATAGCCACATCTGCACCTCGACTGCCGCCCAGCACGGCGTCTGACGGCAGTGGGCACGTCGGGATAAGCTGTCAGCAGGAGTCTCAGGGAGAGCAGCGCTGTTTCACGGTCCCCCGGAGCAACCCCAGGGTGATGTTACCTGCCTCTGATCGGACTGGATCAAAACTACGTTCTTCAAATTTCAGAATCTGTAATGTTTATCGGTTAATACATCACCATGCGGTTTGCCTTCCGACGTTCTTCGCCTTCCGGTTTATACTGTAATCTTGAGACTTAGTTGGTTACACAGAAGCACGTGGGTCTCCAGGTGATCTTCGCTGGAAATTGCTGCTGACACGGCGAGTTCGTGAACTTCCAGAACTATCTCCTCTGGCGTTCCTCCAGTTTCAGAAGAACAGCCCTCAACTAGTGAATGTGGTCATCAAAGTGCGTCTATTTCAAAGCTGACTTTACACGTTTCTTTGTTTTTTGTTTCTTTTTTACTTTATAAACTGTGAATATGAGTATGCCAGCAGCATACAACTGTAATATTTAAATTTCACTCTCTCTTTGAGCCTATTGACATCTGTATAAACTTGTTTTGAAATATACTCTCTAATTATAAATGTAATAACATAACTTTTGGCATGGTAAACATTATGACTTTGATTACAGAAGGCATATTCTTTCATAGCTTCAGCAGGGAGGATTCTAATGATTATTTTAATAAAAATGGTTCACTGTATGTTACGTGCTTGCCGGCCACTCTTTTTGTGTTGGGCATGGTGTCTCTCTGCAGCTTTAAAGTGATTTGTGACTTGAAGTGGTGCTCCTTCACCTGGATGCAGTTAGCACCTGTCAGTGTGGAGAAAATGCCGGCCAGCCCCTTGACCCGTGCTGTCCACCACACCGGAGAGCCTGCTCTCAGCTGAGCCTCTGGCAGAAGGGACAGGACTCAAGAGCCAGGCTGCGAGGTTCCCAAGTGAGTGAATTCAGCACTGTGTTGATGTTTCCCCACATGGTGCTCTTAATAACTTCATTTTCTTAAACATTTCCAATTGTTCATCGCTGGGATCATAATCCAGTATCATGAACACTACTAGACTGGCTTGGCAGTTCTCATTGAAATATTTTGTAAACATCTTTATGCCCAAAAACTATGACTCAAGGGACCAGCACAGTGGTTCAACAGGCTAACCCTCCACCTACAAATGCCACCATTCTCTGTGACTGCCAGTTTCTATACCAGTGGCTGTATTTCTGATCCAACTCCCTGTTTATAGCCTGGGACGGTAGTGGAGATGAACTCCAGCCCTTTGGGCCCCTGCAACCATGTGGGAGACCTGGAAGAAGTTCCTGGCTCCTGGATCAGCTCAGCTCCAGCTGGTGCAGCCGTTTGGGAACTAAAGCAGCAGATGGAAAATCTGGATGGATGGATGGATGGATGGATGGATGGATGGATGGATGGGTAGATGGGTGGATGGATGGATGGATGGATGGATGGATGGATGGATGGATGGGTGGATGTTAAAGTAGCGTAATCCTTAGTAACGGAAGTTTAACGTTCTATTTTCAGTGTATTGCGGCATTGTAGGTATTGCCAGTGATAGAAAATCTGGTATCCTATTCTCAAGGAATATTTAGCGGTTTCATTAGGAGTCCTCGTTTTTGTTTTTGTTTTGTTTTTATCAGAAGTAAAGATGCAGACTACAACATAACCTCAATTCCGGGTATGGTAGTCTTCAGCTATGAAAATATATGTCCATACATGTTTACCTGTGTTTCTGTTTGTTTTGTATTTTGTGTGAAGGTTGGCTTATAACAGAACTTATTGGTCCTTTTGGGACTGGCTTATTTTACTGAACACACTGGTCTTCAGTTGTGGCCATTTTGTTGCAAATGATTGAAATTTGTTCTTTTTTATGACTATGTAATATTCCATGCAGTAGATGTACCACTGTTTCTTTAGGGTTAAGGTTTAGTATGTTTTTTTTAAAGATTTATTTACTTTTATGGAAAGTAAGACTTACAGAGAAAAGGAGTGACAGAAAAAACTTCCCTCCACTGGGCTGCAATGGGCTTCCCTCCCCAAGTGGCTGCAATGGAGCTGAGCGGATCCGAAGCCAGGAACTTCTTCCAGGTCTCATAGGTTGGTGCAGGGTCCCAAGACTTTGGGTCTTCTTCCACTGCTTCCCCAAGTCACAAGCAGGAAGATGGATGGGACGTGGAGCAGCCAGGATCGAAACTGGTGCCATATGGAATCCCAGCACATGCAAAGTGAAGACTTTAGCCACTAGGCTACTGTGCCAGGCCCATACTATAGTTATAATTTTCCTATGGTTTTAAATTATATTCTTTCTGACTACCAATTAACGATTGACAAACTCTTCCTATATAATTATTTGTGTTCCCTGCTTCATGAAATTTGTTTGTCTAGTCTGTTGCCTATTTTTCTGTTGGTTGCTATTTTCCTATTTTCCTGTTTTAATTGATTCATGAGCACTGTTTGATATGTTCTGTATGTTTTATATACTCTAGAAATGCTTTGCCAGGATATATCCAAATATTTCTTCTCTTTTTGGAGCTTCTATATCACTACAAAATCTTAACATTTTCAAAATGTTTTCATTGACCAGAACCACTGTGAAAGTTCACAATAACCATCATCCATCCATATAATATTTAAAAATCACCGGACCAATACGATAGCTCAGTGGCTAAATCCTTGCCTTGCAGGCACTGGGATCCCATATAGGTGACAGTTCATGTCCCAGCTACTCTACTTCCCATTCAGCTCCCTGCTTGTGGCCCGGGAAAGCAGTCAAGGACAGCCCAAAGCCTTGGGACCCTGCACCTGCATGGGAGACCGGCAGAAGCCTCCTGGTTCTTGGCTACAGATCAGCTCAGCTCTGGCCATTGCAGCCACATGGGGAGTGAATCAGTGGACAGAGAATCTTTCTCTGTTTCTCTTTCTCTCTGTAAAGTCTGCTCTTGTAATAAATAACTCTTAAAAAAAATCATTAGTTGGGCCCGGCATAATAGTGTACTGGTTAGTCCTTGCCTTGCACACACCAGGATCCCATATGGGTGATGGTTCTAATCCCGGCAGCCCCGCTTCCCTTCCAGCTCCCTGCCTGTGGCCTGGGAAAGCAGTCGAGGACGGCCCAAAGCTTTGGGACCCTGCACCCACGTGGGAGACCCAGAAGAGGCTCCTGGCTTTAGATTGACTCAGCTCCAGCCGTTGCGGCCTCTAGGGGAGTGAATCATCAAACAGAAGATCTTCCTCTCTGTCTCTCCTCTTTGTATATCCGCCTTTCCAATAAAAATAAAATAAATCGCATAAACCTACAAGGAGAAAGAATGAAATAAGAAAGCTCCAGAAGAGAGGAGTTTGCAGCTTGCGGTGGAGGGATGGGTACTGTAGCAGAGTTGGGGATTTAGGAGGAAGAAAACTGATATACAGGACACAGCAAAGGCCCTGGAGCTGGAGACACCAGGGTGTCAGGAGTGCTGGAAGCAGGGGAGAGCTCGGAACTGTGCGTGGGAAGTAGCTGCTCCTACCCAGAGCACAGGGACATTTGGGACTACAGAATACAATGTACAGCAGAAAGAAAGAAAACTGCATGGAAAAGCCAGGGGTGGAGGGACGATACACAGCCACCCAGGCTGCCGTCACCCCCGTTCCGCCTCTTTCCAGCACCCCACAACTGACCCTGTGCTCTGCTCACAAGATCATGTCCTAGCGACGTTTCACAGTCCCAGAGGAACAGACTTAGAATTGGAGATGCCCTAATGAATGCTTATTTATTGCCAACAATGAAGAAAGAAAGGAAGGAAAAGAACAAAAGAGAAAGAGTGAGGAAAGAAGGGAGAGAGGGAGGGAGGGAGGGCAAGGCTGCAGGAGGCAGACTATGCCAGGTAGGGACATAGCACCCACTGGCACTGTTGAGATCTGCTTCTGGGAGCAGGCCTGATGGGCGAACTTCCCCTGCTGGGCTGTGGTTCCCACCAGTGAGCGTCAGAGTCAGGGTTGGGTGTGGCCAGACCCAGCGGGTATGTGGGCTGGTTTCAGGGGTAGATTGGGCAAGGCTGGGCCAAACCCTAGCACACTGGTTAAGGGGGAACCAGGAAGGAGTGCAGGCCATGCCAGACTAGGCCATCACACCCACAAGTTTTCATGAGAGCTGGGGATGGCGACAGGCAGGGCAGGCTTAGGCTGCAGCACCCACCAGTGGGAGTTTGGACTGGGGGTCGGCTGAGGCAGGCCAGGCTGCAGCATACAATGGCAAAGGCCAAGACGGCAGCTAGGTCATGCCAGGCTGGGTCGGAAAACTCACTGCTGTGTGTAAGATCTGTGTTGGAAGTGGGCATGGTAGGCGAGCCAAGGGAATGTCCATGCTGTGCTGCAATTCCCACAGGTAAACCTAAAAACTGGGAATGGGGGAGGACCTGGCTGACCGTGGCTGCAGCATCCCTCAGAATGTGTGTGGGCTGTGTCTGGAGATGTGCCAGACTGGACTAGGCTGCAGTACCCACTGGCACCTGCAAGAGCCGGAGTTGGCGTAGGATGGGCTAGGCTGATCCACATGAGACACAGGTCTGGAGATAAGCCAGGCAGTGCTGGGCTGTAGCACCCATTCAAGAGAGCAGGAACAGGTGTGGACTGGTCTGCCAAGGCCACAGTACCAACTGGTGAACGTCAAGACTGGAGGTGGCACCAAGGATATCAGTACGAGCACTGAGGACCACATCCCAATCGCCAAGGAGACCACGGGGATTTGAAGTGCCTTCAGGGGCCGAGAACTCTGAGGTCATCCACCTCCATTTGGATCTCCCACATGGGACGGAAGAAGCCCAAATCCTGCCTTGCAGGATCCAAGGTCAGCGGAACCACAACCAGGAGCACTCAGCAGTCTGCAGAAACAGAACAGTAAACTTCCTGCGGGACTAGGGAGAGGAGCTTTCTCTGGTCCTTGCCTGGTTCCAACTTTGGGTCCCCACTCTCTCTCATAATGACCATCAGGATCATTCCAGAAACCCCTCAAAACAAACAAATAAATAAACAAAAAACAAACTAGAATAAATAGAGAACAGCAAGGAAAGCTTAGAAACAGACAGGAAAAGGTCAGTGGGGATGCACTTATAATTCGCTGGGTGGGACACAAAGATTAGTTACTCCTCAGTAGGGTATTGAAGATTTCTCTGCACACCCCTCCTAAAACTGTTCACCTAAACTGTTGATACATGTCTTGTTAGAGTTATAGAGTTAGACTACCCGAAAAACAGCCAGGTTCGGCAAAATCATCCTTCAACGCTATCAACTGCTAAATACTAAAATTAAAATAGACATGAGACAGCTGAATAGTAATCTATAGCCATTTTAAGGTGTATAGAACCCAGTTGTATATAAACTAATAATTGAAATGTCAATGTAGAAGTCATAGGATGTGGTTCAGGACTTGCACTCTTTTTTTATATTTTTTTCTCTCTTTTAACATGTTGGTTACTCAATACCATGTTAACTAATTCCATTACGTTATAAATTGTTACTGATGTAATGCTGGGACTTTTAATTGATTGGGATGATACTCTGTCGGCTCTACCTTCAGACCAGAGACGGTCTTCCCCAAGAAACCCTTGAACTTATCTGGACAATAAGACGCTGGACTTGATGCTTGGTAGATGCTTGCAATGAAAGAATCTCAACTGAATTTGAACTGTGGTAATGCAACAAGGTGGAGGAAT